TGACTAGAGCTAGTCATGTGCAGTGCCGGGCACCCAAGGAACTACAGCAGCCTGTACTTTCTGAGGCCTCCTCCTTCTCCAAGACCCAAAGCTCATCACAGACTATAGCAGGTATGGTCAAGAGGAAAGATGGATGATGCAGTCATAGAGTAGCTCTCAAAGGCAATGGATCAGTCATCCTTGCACTAACATATGAATTCCAGTAAAGGAGAGAATTTAGTGAGATGCATCAAAGTAGACTACATACATAGAAAATAGAACAATTTGAGGGTAAATAAAAAGAATGCTAAAATGGTAATAAATCTTTGGAGGGAGATTTGAGATTCTCTATTATTCCATTTTATATAACCAATTCATTTCTTACTCTGGCTTCCTTTCCATGTGAATATAAACTATACATTAAAGGTACCATTCCATTTTTCCCCTAAAAATCAGCAGGTCCGTCTCATGAAATATGTGCTAGCCAAAAGTGTGATGGGGAGATAGGGCAGAATGCTATTTGTCTCACAATATCTGTTATCTGTATCTTCCATATTTTTGGATGGACACATGGCTACCCACAAGAAAGTTTACATTTCCTAGTCTCCCTTATAAGTAGGTGTGGCCATATAATTCAATTCTGGCCAGTAGGTAAGCAGAACCATCTGAGTAACTTCTGAGAAATGTCTTTAAAGTGCTGATACTATATTTATCATCCAAACTGGGACACTTGAGAGTAAAAGGGAATACTAAGAAAATGAAATTTTTATAATTTTTGAAACATGTATTTATTAGCAAATGACTTTATTATGTTGTGGGCTTGTTAACAAGTTCTACTCAAAAACTATTTTCAAAACTGCAATTTAAGAAGAAAGAAAAATAACATATATCCATGTACATTAAAACTAAAAAAGAATTTTATAGTGATTATCTGAATATTAAAAAAATAGCCAGTAGAATAATTATTCTTGGTATATATTTACATACTTTAACTCATTTCTTAGCATATCTGTCCCTAATATTGTGTAACTGGCATTCTTCTAAAGAATGTGCTTTTATTTTATTTTTTAAAAAGATTTTAAGTAATCTCTACACCCAACATGGGGCTTCAACCTACAATCCAGAGATCAAGAGTCACACACACTACCAACTGAGCCAGCCAGGCACCCCTGAAGAATGTGCTTTTAAAAATATGGCATTTTGGGGCGCCTACGTGGCTCGGTTGGTTGAGCATCTGTCTTCGGCTCAGGTCATGATATCGGGGTCCCGGGATCGAGCCCCGTGTCGGGCTCCCTGCTTGTGGGGAGCCTGTTTCTCCCTCTCCTCCCCGCTTGTGCTCTCTCTCTCTCAAATGAATGGATAAAATCTTAAAAAAAAAATATATATATATACACACACACACATCCATATATATGGCATTTAAGAATTATATATATAATATATATATTACAGCATTTAAGAACTAAACTGCCAGCAATATTCTTCGTAGTTGCATTTTATGACTAATTTGAAATTATTGATACCTTCAATTGATTCTTATTGGTAGACCATAATATTTTTAATTGAGGAAATGCTCATTCTACAGATTCTGAGTTACCTGATAAGCTCTGAGCAAATCTGCTAAATGGAAGAGAAACTCAATTCTAATTTTTTAAATATTGTAAAATATAACTATTCCAGCCCAAATATTTTCAAGGTACTGTCTTTTTGCTTCCTTCAAAGTACCTTTCTTTGACAAATATTTTTATAAGACAAAGCTTGTCAAATAAATTGCCTCTATGATTCTTTTGAATGTTTTACTAAAATTAGATGCTGCAAAATCTAGGCCTTCTAAATTTCATTTTATTCGTGTGTGTATAATTTATTCAAAATAGCAGCACTACCAAAAGATTCTTCTTGCAAGGTGAGATATTCCAAATCACAATTATAGAACTGTAAATTTTAATCTTGGGTAGCATTTGAGATCTTACCATTTATTTTGTTCTGTTCCTCCCTTGCTTTTGTAAGGAAAAATTCCAATGGAATTTTCATTAATTGTTTTCATTGTAATTTCCTAAAAGCTTCATTTGGTGTTCTATTTGTTGAACATTTGATTTAAGATTTTGAGTGGATTTTGAGCAAGATGTTCACCAAAATTTTATGCCTCATTTATATAAAATTCAATACTATTGTTGGGTATAAAGATTTTGAGAATCTGATTAATGATAAGCAACAAAGACAGAAGGTACATACTGCAGTGCTGAACTGTATTTTTGTACTCAGAGTAACACCAAAGTTCTCAAAATCTTATAGTTTAAAGACTTGAACATTAAAGATACTTGAAATTTTTATAACAATACCTTCTATTTCAACTTAGAGAATGTTAACACTTGTTTGGATACGATTATGAATTATGGGTATGCCACAATGAATTCCAACTACTCCATAGGTTTCACAATATAGTAAGAACACTGTTTTTACCACAACACTATGTGTGCCTCACCAAAATGTGTACTTGTATATTATTGTAAACTAATAATTTTATCTCCCATGTTGCACTTTATTTAAGTGATCTCTACATCCTGCATGAGGCTTGAACTCACGACCCCAAGATCAAGAGTCGGATGCTCTACTGACTGAGCCAGCCAGGTGCCCCTTCCATGTTGTACTTTAAACTGAATTTCCAAACTCACTCATAATGGCTTTACCTTTGATAGAATATACTTCCAAAAGCTTTACCTTGATCCCATGAACGGATGGAAAAAACAAAACCTTTTTCTGAATTAACTAAAATGATTTAATTAAAGTACCAGCTGACACTCAACTAAAACTGGAACTACTTAACTGTAAAGTTCTTCTGCCAATGGAGCCAACAAATATAAAGTTACTGCTTACTTTTTCCTATGCGCACATAAAAAACCTGTAGTCGAAAAATGAGTGAAATTAATTTAGAAAAACAGACATCTGTCTAAAAGTTAGGCTTCACTTTTTCAGCAGATTAGTTTTCATGTGGTCAGTGATACCAGTATGGCCTCCCCAGTGGATGTAAATGTCAACATTTTGTGCAAATTACACGTTCCTTATCAACTTTCTCAGTACTTTAAAAAATGAAATATATAGTTTTTAGCTTATTCCTGCCAAAAAGTTTTATTGCAAAAACAAACTGTTGCCAAACAATAAAATAGTTAAAGGTTTACATTACACAAGCAAGTGTGCTCAGTCTACTCTCTACCCTCTCTGATCAGCCTTGATTTCCCACATATACTCACCAATGCCCCACTTCCACCTTACTATGTTTCCCACTGAGCTTTGGGACTGGTACCTGGTGGCTTGGTAACTCTTGAAGGCCATGCACAGGCCACAGTACAATTGGGTGATACATCAAATGGCAGCAATGTCAAATACTTCTACACCTGATACAGGAAAAAGTTAACGATTAACCTAGACTGTCAGTGTACTTTGTTTTATCAGCAATTGCCCTGCGTTCTGTCCTTGACTGGGAGGTGTCTGAAAGGGTTGGGAAAAGAGGTAAGTTATTGCTGGTTGTCCTCCAGATTTAATATCACCTTAACATGAGAACACTCTCCACTGTACATGGGTCTCATATTCTATTAGCCTACACTAGACAAAAACTCAGTCAGAGGTTGGAAGTATAAAGTAGACATCTATGAAACCCATCCTGGCTCATCCTAATGGAATTATTAGTAATCATTCTCTGTTAAAAAATCCAGGACAAATGTTAAGACAGATGGGATTCTGGGACAGTGGACTTACACTGAGACTATCCTTAGCAAACCAGGATGTACCCTCACTTGACCTTCAGGTGAAGGAGATCTGCCTTTCTCTGTCTTCCTCCTCCTCCTTTCCTATTGACTCGAGTGAGAACATGATGGCAGCTGTTTGGGGCCAGAAATATAGTAGTAAGGTACGGATGGCAGAGCAGGATGACAGAAAATGCCTTTGGCTCCCGACTTTGTAGAATCAATCCTAGACTAGCCTGCCTAGTCCTGGATGTTTTTACATGAAAAAGAATAAATCCTATCTTGTTTTGGCCACTGTTATTTTATAACTAAACCTAATTCAAACTCATATATAAGGAATATCTCTACAATCTTTCTAGAAAGCAGCTTGGCAATATGTATCAAGAATGCTAACAATGGGGGCGCCTGGGTGGCTCAGTTGGTTGAGCGACTGCCTCCGGCTCAGGTCATGATCCTGGAGTCCCTGGATCGAGTCCTGCATCGGGCTCCCTGCTCGGCGGGGAGTCTGCTTCTCCCTCTGACCCTCCCCCCTCTCATGTGCTCTCTCTCTCTCTCTCAAATAAAATAAATATTAAAAAAAAAAGAATGCTAAAAATGTTTAAACCCTTTGAGCCACTTTTAGGTATTTATCTGAACAAAATAATCTGGAATGAGGGATACTGCTGTGTAAAGATGTTTACTGCAGATCTATTTATGACAATAAAAAACCAGAAGCAACTTAAGTTCCCAAAATGAGACATTTGTTAAATAAATGATATTACATCTAAATAACTGAATATTATGCAACCATTAACAAGTTTGTGAAAAATGTTAATAACATGGGAAAACACCCACATCATAATATGAAGTAGAAAAAAATAGGCAGGACTAAAAAAAACCTTATACATGTAAGTTCTCACCTATGTTACAAAAAACTCACATATATAAAGGTAGGAGCAAGCAAACAAAAAGCTTGAAAGGAAACCCATCACAATATTAACTAACAGTGATTATCTCTGGATGGTGAGGTAATATAGGTAATATCTGTTTACAGATCTTCTCTGTGCTAAATATTTAACAGTATTCTATAATTAACAAATAATTATAACCAGAAAAAACTGATTTCAAAACTCTTTGTTAGCATTTACCAGCTTTACTGGTGTTGACACTGCCACCATCTTCATCACAATTTTACTGAGCATCTACATGTGGGGAGCTGGGGCAGCAGGGTGCACAGACCTCCACAGCTCCAGCAGAGCCCCCTAAAAGTCATCCAGACACGAGTAACCTGCCCGGTATTACCTTGGTGTTCTGTAGCAGTGCTAGTCCGTTGCAGGCATTTGCTAGAAGAAAGTCTCCACTCAGGATAGCTATTTTATTTCCAAATTGCATGTCTTTCAACAGTCCATCAGAAGACTGCAATTCATTTAAATTTACTATCCCACGATGTACGAGGAGAGCAGTATGGATAAGTTCTGTGATCTCTGCCAAACTTCTTTGACTGAAACATGAAGGTAAGACTTGTCTGAGTGTTAAGAATACCACCACATCAGTAATGTCAGACTTCAGTTTTCAACAGTAAAATATTTCAGTTACTAGTCTCTCTCGCTCTCTCTTTTTAAAACTATTCCTTTTTAGTGACGTTTTTAATAGAGGACTCTCTAATGAGCAGTTTGGGATCTATAAGCAGATCTTGACATGTTCCTTCCCTAGAATATTCCTCACTCTCCCTCCCATGAATAACCAGGATTCTCCAAAGAGAAGCTGCCAGTGGGGCCACCCTTTACAGTTCCATTTAGATACTCTGTTATCAGTATACCTTTCCTACCTCTGTAATTTTAGGATTTCTGAAATTCCTTACTAGTACCTAATGAAATTCCAATTTAAGGAGGACCATAACCCATGTCAAGCATTAAGTTAAACACTTTAATATGCTATCTTTTTTAATCCTAATGCAAAGCTATGGGATTTACAGAGATGAATAAAATGCGGTCTCTTTCTTCAAAGACCTTACATTTCAGAATAAAAACCAAGATATATACCTACAGTAGTAAATAAAACAGAGAAAGCCCTGGAGAAGTTTATAGTATAGTACTGTATCAGATGGGATGTCAAGTAATGTTTCTTTTCTTTCCTTTCCTTTTTTAAAAAAAATTTTTTTAAAGATTTTATTTATTTATTTGACACAGAGAGAGAGCACAAGCAGGGGGAACATCAGAGGGAGAGGGAGAGGGAGAAGCAGGCTCCTGCCGAACAGGGAGCCCAACTTGGGGACTTGATCCCAGGACCCTGAGATCATGACCCGAGCCGAAGGCAGACGCTTAACCGATTGAGCCACCTAGAGGGCCCTCCATTTTTTTTTTTTAAGATTTTATATACTTATTTGAGAGATAGGAGAGAGAGACCACAAGTGGGAGGTGGGGGGAGGGGCAGAGGGAGAGGGAGAGGGAGAAGTACACTCTCAGCTGAGCAGGGGGCTTGATCTCAGGTCCCCTGGATCCCAGGACCTGAGCCGAAGGCAGATGCTTAACCAACTGAGCCACCCAGGTGCCTGAAATGTTTCTTTTCTTATACTTTTCTATACTTTGTACATTTTCTATTGACAAAAGCATTATTTTACAATCATAATAACCCAAACAATTACTAGCATATTTAAATTTCATAACCATCCTATGATAGGTATTAACTCCTTTTTATAGGTGAGAAAATTGTTCCACACCAATAAATGACTTTCCCAAAGGCATACAGTAATGTAGAGCTGTTAATCTGTTGGAATCTGTTACAAATGACTTTATGTGAATCACACCACTTGGTTTCTGTGCTCCTGTGTTGTCCCCTCCACACCAACTCTGGGCTTAGCCATGTGACTGACTTTGGCCAAAAGGACCTTCGAAAATGTGACATAAGCAAAGCCTGAAAAATGGTTATGTATTAAGACTTGTCCAAAGCAGTCACATGAGTGACCCCAGGCAAGAAGAACCATCTGGTCAATCCACAGAATGATAAGAAATAAAATGACTGTTTCAGGTTACTAAATATAGGGTAGTTTGCTATGTAGCAATAGATATCTGATACAGAAACTGGTATATCTGGGTATGGTGTGCTGCTCAACAAAAACCTAAAATATATGTCAATGGCTTTGAGTCTGAATGATGGGGGCTAAATGGGAAAGTTGAAGAAACGGCAAATTCTTAGTGGCAGCTGGAAAGGCAGTGAAGCAATTGTTACTGGAGATTGAGAAGGGACATACTGTGTTAGAAGGTAGTGAAACAATTGGCAAAACTGTTGCCTATGGTAACTTGAAAGATAGAAAATATATATAATGAAATTATGTATCTGGATAAGGGGACTGATTCTCAGGCAGAATGATGAAATGTCATCTGGATTACTGTAGCTGCGTATGACAAGGTACAAGAGAAATGAGCTACAGAGAGAACTGTTGTTTTGAAGCACAATTTAGAGGAACAATAAAGGAGAAAAGACTTGCTAGGTTGAAAATAAAACTTCCACATCTCCAGTCTCTCCAGAAAAAAGCCTGTCAAAGAAAAAAATGGGGATGCCTGGGTGGCTCAGTCGTTAAACGTCTGCCTTCGGCTCGGGTCATGGTCCCAGGGTCCTGGGATCGAGCCCCGTGTCAGGCTCCCTGCTCGGCAGGAAGCCTGCTTCTCCCTCTCCCACTCCCCCTGCTCGTGTTCCTGCTCTTGCTCTCTGTCAAATAAATAAATAAAATCTTTAAAAAAAAAAAAAGAAAGAAATGGTATTAGGAAAAAGATAATATCAAAACTGTGGCTATAAGAACTTTTCTAAAGACCTAAAAAATTTAAGGTGATGCTCAACAGACCCCTTGGGCTAGACAAAAGATCTTCTAAGAACTCTAAGGGTACTGTCCCACAGCAGCCTTACACTCAAAGTAGAGATGTTCATCCCAAAAAAGAACTATAGATGTCCCCTAAAAGGGCATGGAATGAACATTTATGACATTCACAGAAATCCCAAAAAGCTTTTAAGGAAGTTGTATGAGCTTCAACTAAAAGTGACAAGAGACAGTTCAAAGGAAAAAAAGGAGCTTCTAAACCAACTTTCCATGGACAAGAAATCAGGCTGAGACAGCTACTCAGCTATAAGTATGAATCATCTCTTCCTCTTCTTCTTCTTTTTTTTTTTATTATAGTTGATACACAGCGTTATGTTAATTTCAGGTGTATAACACAGGGATTCGATAAGTCTGTGTTATGCTACGCTGACCACAAGTGTAGCTATCTCTGAATCGTTTCTTACTGAAAATGTTCAGGGAAAATAGTTCCAAGGGCAAAGGATTCTGGAGGACAGTGGAATAGGGAACCTCTCCCAGGAAAAAGACTGGGCCCTAGTCAAATATTCTTTGCTTCTAGAGTAGGAGGTTCTGATACTGTGTGCCCAGCTGGATTTCAGAATTACTATGGACCATTGATTATTATGTGCTTCCAAATCCTCCCTTTTTTTAACGGAAGTGACTACTGTGGTTATCTTGTTCCCAACTCACCATTCTATGCTAGGTGTGTAGTGGTGGTAGGGGTAAATAACTCATCCTTTTAGTCCCCTGGATTAAGAGGAGCTGCACCTCTGGAGCCACATCCACAACCGGACCTAACAAAAATTATGAGCTCATGGACCTTGAGCTTGACACCATGAAATATATGAGACTTTGGGGTCTTGGGAGGTGGTAAGTATATTTTGCATAAGGAAGGAATGTGAATCATGGGGACCTGAGAGTAGACTGTGGCAGACGGTTATACCAACGGCCACCAATGAATCAATCATACCTCCTGACATCTACATCACGTCTCCTTGATTAACTCTGAGTTGATTATATGACTTGCTTGGCCGGTGGGATATCAGCAAATGTGGGACAAACAAGCTTGGTAAGTGTTTTTGCACTGGGGCTTACCCTCTTGGAATGCTGCCCTGAGACTACATGTGAAGAAACCCAATCTAGCCTCCTTGAGATGAAAGACAACATGGAGAGGAGAAAGCCCAGCTTTCCTAAACATGCTCACCCTCTAGCCGACCTACCAGGTAAATGCAGCCACATAAATAAACCCAGGAGAAACTAGCAGAGGATCAGTCCAGCCAATCCACAGAACTATGAAAAGTAAAATGTTTACTGTTTTAAAAGCCACCAAGTTTGGGGGCAGTTTTGTTACACAACAGATAACTGGTTAGAGACTTCAAAATCCAACCTATTTCCACTGTAGTAGGCTGCTTCTTAGATCACCAGTTGCAGTTATTTTAAAATTTTCTCTGAGGAAGGTAAATTTGTGCTGGGCCTTGAATGACAGGTATGATTTCTACAACTGGAGAGAAGGGGCACACACAATAGCAGAAGAGTAGGGATTAAGAACCCCAGAATAACGAAGAACAGGAATCAAGCCTGGGTGAAGCAAGAGGAGAAAACGTGACCAGAGGGTGAGGAGGTCAGTTTGGTCAGAGTATATAGGGTCTGTGTGGGTAAGTGAGAAGTAGTTATCTGGAACTAGATTATAGCAGGTTAAAGGGTCTGTGTTTTGTTACACAGGCAGTGTTTTTGAGAAGGAGGGATGATATATATATATATATATTTAAAGATTTTATTTATTTATTCAACAGAGAGAGACATAGCGAGAGAGGGAACACAAGCAGGGGGAGAGGGAGAGGGAGAAGCAGGCTTCCCGCTGAGCAGGGAGCCCGATGTGGGGCTCGATCCCAGAACCCTGGGATCATGACCTGAGCCAAAGGCAGACGCTTAACAACTGAGACACCCAGGTGCCCCAAAATGATTTAGGAAAAATATTCTGAAGGTGATATGTAGAAAAATCTGAAAAAGTAGATGGTGAATAGAGAGATCGGTGAGGGAAGACGCTATTACAAAGGCCCAAGGGAAATGTAACAATAGGGCTTGACCTAAAGGTCAAATTTAAGCATTTGACCCAGGACAACCTTAGACACGGAGACAAATAAATATAAAATAATCAAATAATAAATATGAGACTTTTTAATCCTAAAGACTACTGAGATGTTAACAGAAAACATTTAAAAACAAAAAGGAGCTAACATTTAAAATTATCCTTTAAAAAAGTAACTAAAAGAATAAGAATTTGTCTCTCAAGAAAAATATAGTACTAGTTTAAACAACTATGACACAATAATTACATAAAGGTACAATTATATAAGATTAAGGAGCCAAACAACTTGGCATCTATAAAAGAAAAATCAGATTTTTAATTTCCTTTGTTAAAAACAAGTAAAAGAATATGTAAAAATGACTCAGTGGACATACAGTACTTGATTACAAATTGGGGGAGTAGGAGAACATGAACCAGTGAGTTAAACAGCTCTTTAGTTAAAGAGTAAATTCATTATTTAGATGAAAACCTTACTACATCCCAAAGAAAATCACCAACGATAGAGCCTTAGAAGACTACTGAGAAGTTAATAGAAAATATTTAAAAACTAACAAAAGGAGCTAACATTTAAAATTATCCT